TGGCCCAAAAATTTGTCAATACTGCAAAGAAACATCAGAGGCTTTTCTGACATGATCAGATGTGGAGACCCCAAACGATGTAGTAACTCCCCCAAAAGCCTGTCAAATGCCAAAAACGTAGGTGCCAAGGACATCAACCGTATTAGGTTTTACAAGATATGGATCCAAACACAATCACAAGTGCAATGAATATCCATTAGGGGAGCTGAGTGCCGAATTGTGGCCAGCTGGGTGCTTAAAGAAATATTGTAAATTAACAACAGCTTCATTACCTCAAAAGCAAAGAAATGGTTCTGCAAAAGGAAAATGTCAAGAGATTTAGAAATCATGCAACCAGGTGAAAGTTCAAGAAGATAAATATACAAATATAAGGTGAAGAGAATATTCATAGATGAAGTTAAAGAGAGTCAAAACCAATTCTGACTACCAACTTGATGGTGCAATGGTTTGAAACAGAATTTAAATTTGACATAGTTTCATACCAGCAGACAGCTTGCCATGGTTGAAATCTTTGAGAGCCAGACCAGCAAATGTAAAACTCCAAAGTCCAGGGGACACAGATATTCAGGTGTGAGGACAAATCACCACAAAACCTATCCAGAGAAGACATTTTGTCTTCTGAAATACTGAAGTACAAAATACCTAATTGTTAAGCTGAAATGCGAGTTGGTCACTGAAAGAGAGTGAATATAATACTTCAGATTGAAGACATCAGAGAATTTTGTCAGTAATTTCCAAAGATATTTAAGCAAGTTGAAGTAGCAGTTTATATTACCTTGCAATAAGATGTTAAACCCATCTGGTTGTATGAATCCAAGAAATTATTTGATGAGTAAAGTTAAATTTTGATTAAACAGCATGACTGAACACAAGGTTATACTGCTCGTAAGTAACAGAACCAACACAATGGTGCTCAGGTCTAGTAACTGCTCCCAAGGCCCAAGATGGAGAACTCGGATTGTGTGTGAATCTCTTTCATTTCAACAAAGGGGTTCAACAAGAAATCCGTCCTAGCTCATCTGTTGATGATGATAGCTTGGCAAAATTGCCAACAAGAAGTTTTTCAAAGGATTGGATGTTAACACTGGGTTCTGGCAGATACCTTTAGACCATGAGTCAAAATTACTAAATACACTTATTACACTGTTCAGGCAGAATTGTCTCAACTGTCTAAAATATGGGATCTTCTCTGCACCAACAATCTTCCAAACAGCATTGTCTAGAATCCTGGAGGGGAAACAGGAACCATTTTCCATATGGATGATATCTTAGTGCATGTTAAAAAGAAGGAACATGACCAGCAGACCAGTGATGTATTAAAGACACTACAGAATGTAGGCCTTACACTAAGGTGGAAGATGCACTTTGTTCTTATAATAATAACATTTCTAGAACACAAAATTCAAGAACAAGGCATCATTGAGTGGAGGAGTTAGCCAGGTGGTATTATTGCTGGACTATTAATCCAGAGACCCAGGTTCAAATCCCACCATAGCAGATGATAGAAATTTGAATTCAATTTTTTAAAAAAGTCTGGAATTAAGAGTCTAACGATGATCACAAATCCATTGTTGATTTTCAGGAAAGACCCAAGTGGTTCATTAATGTGGGAAATTGCCATCCTTACCTAGTCTGGCTTACATGTGACTCCAGACCCACAGACTCTTAACTGCCCCCTGGGCAATTGGGAATGGGCAATGTGCCCCTCATCCTGTGAATGAATAAAATAAATGGTGGATCCAGGGAAGACAAGAGCTATCACCAGTGATTTACCAACACTGAAGTGCATGAATGACATATTGCATTTTTTAGAATTGGAAGTTTGTCCCCAACATAGCAAGTCTTACTCAACCCATAAGGAAGCTTTTGAAGAAAGGCCAGCAATGGTATTGTCATCAGGAACAGAATGCAAGTTTTGAAAAGATTAACGAGAACTTATTTTCTGTTGATGTTCTAGCACATTATAATCCAGGCATAGATGCAACATTGCACAAGACTTGAAACAGTCCTTATTCAGGTGCAAATTGACAAAACAAACGTCAAGTGTTTTGATGGTGACCGAGAAAAGGTATGCAACCATAGAGAAGGGAGCCTTAGCAGCTACATGAGGATGGGAAAGATTTGCATGAAACTGAAATTCCAGGTTGCAATGAAACATAAGCCTTTGGGAATATTACTGGGATTGAAAAAAATTTCAAAAGTGCACGTTTGTGTCTAAAAATTCAGGTTTATGCTGATGAGATGTGAGTATGCCATATTCCAGAGTCTGTTCCAGACAAGGTACAGGCAAAAGTAGACACACTCATGGACAACATTAGAATTTTGAACAATATATGGGATTACATGTTGCCATGCCTACACAGCCAATAGCCACAGAATCAATAATTTCATTCAAGATTTCTGGAAAGACCACAGGAAAGGTTAACTATGGAAATTTTTGATTTTAAGAGACAGCATATTCGGACCTAGTTGACTGTTATTCAAGATTGATTGAAGTAGCAAGGCTTCATTCACCGCAGCACCCCCACTGATTGGATCAGCGAGAAAGCACTTTGTGATACACAGTTGCCCTGAAGAACTGTTATTATACAACAGACCTCAATTCGGAACATAAATTTCAGAAAGTTCAATTTGGAGGCAACCATCACTTAGGTGGCAGGTTCTTTACCCTACTCTTAACTAAACTGAGAGACAGAAAGTGTTGTCAAGACTATGAGGTCACTAATGCATGGGAATACAGACTCAGAATTGGCTTATTCAGTTACAAAGCAACACAATTGAACAATGAGATAACAAGGTGTAGAGCTGGATGAACACAGCAGGCCAAGCAGCATCAGAGGAGCAGGAAAGCTGATGTTTCGGATCTGGACCCTTCTTCAGAAAAT